GTATGCACATTCCTCCGCAGTTGTCTGATGATAAATCCTGTCTGTGCGTACCCAGGTGCTCGTGTCCGTTTGCCGTCATTTACATACAGAAATGCGCTCAATTAACCATATTTGGTCACACTACGTCCTCAGCACATGAGGAAATTCCCTGTTTTTTTTAATAGGAAAACTTTATTGACAGCAAGATCAACACACTGGTTGCCAAAGCGCAAAAAATCCAAAGAAGTTGCAGAGGTTATAAACGTGGTCGGGACAGAGAAGTTCCTGTCAGAAATAAATAAAAAAATTAAATGATAAATCATAGAGTAACGGGTTCTCATTTACATTTAACGAGTGGTTCTGTTTGGAGTTATAGTTTAATTTGAAAATGTTTTCTGAGAGTGCAGCCTCAGCCGTTTCTGTGTTGTCATTCAGTCGGGTTGCGTATATGACCGGAGAGCAGAGGAGGTCCTGGGGTTTCTCATAGTTGTAAAATAAAATATTAACTGGAATCGGATTCGTGAGGTTTGTCTGTCGCGCCTCAAAGAGTCCCAAATCACAGCAGAAGGATTTCTTCCTCACGAAGAACGCATTCCCTCAAGTGTGCACGCTCTGTTAAATCTTCAAATAACACAGATAAGTCATGATATAATGTCAGATTCCCGTCAGTCACATGTGTCTTTTATTGGTTTTAGCACCAATAATGCTCAAAAGCCGTTTTTCCACCGACATAACTACATACTGGGTAAATATAAGATGTGGATGAGGAACACGCGTGGATACCTGAGACCTTCAGTACTGCTGTTTCCCCATTCTACCACTAGATGCTGCTCCTACACATGGTCAGAGCTGTTCTTATATTTAGGAACATGCTCACACACAAATACAAATTGGTAAATAACACACAATGTGTAAATTTGTGCCTATGCACGAAATACGCACAAATCTGCATAAGTATGGTTGATAAATGAGGTCCCAGGTCGTCTAAAGCTCTCCTCTGATTTCCTGAGGCACCGGAGCTTTTTTTCCCAAGAATACAAGTTATAAGGCATTCATTCCTACTAGCGACCACTGCTAAAGTACTGAATGAACGAGTGTTCCACACCTTTAAAAATCCAATAAAATAGGCATCAGCTCAGCAGAACTTTGACCCTTTTTAAAAGATTTTCTGTTTACTTTGAAACGCAGGTCTGACGATGACATCAGACCCAACCTAACTATGGTCCAAGCAGTCACTGTTATGAACAGTAACCTGCATTTTATGTCCCTTTTTACTTATAATGCCTTGATAATTTGGCAGTACCATTTTAGTGATGGCATTACTAAAAACACAAATTGCAATAAAGTAATATAAAAAGATGATTACTGCAGCTTTTACTACTTTGCATGTACTGGGCGGCCATATTGCATTCAGAGGTCTGGGCTGCTCAGGAATCTCTAACTTCCGGATTCTTAATTCCAGCATTGGGGTGTGTTTCTGTTTACTTTTCCAACTCTAAACGGTGAAGTTCTGACTACATTGCTTCATTTTGATGTGTTTGTTGTCTCCTGGGAGTTTGTACAAGGACTTTTTTACATATTTTCTTCTAGTTTGCATTCTGCAGAACTGCAGTGACTGATTATTCCAAAACAGAAAATAAACAACAACTTTGTATTCCGAGACTTAACTTGTGACACGCACCATGCCGGATGGTAATTATCATTTGTGTCTCACAGGCCAAGGACATTACCTGACAAAAAAAGTTTACAATTAAAGATTTACATAAATATATTGTTGATATTTTCAGTCACTGTTTGTTCAGTCTTAGCTCTGCTCTCAGAAGGTATTGTTAAACCAAAACTGCCTCCTTCTGCAACACACCTCTTCTCCATTGTGCAGGTTACCTTAGCAACCCATCCCAGGGAGCGTTTGGCTGCAGGTTTATTGAAGCCCTTAAACTTGTTCATATGAAAGAGCTGACATTTGATATAACCTCCATTTGCTTATTAACTTGTTAAAAAAACGTAAGTGTGTGCACAAGTTATTGTTTTAATCCAAGTGTCAACAGCTCGTTATGTAGATTGTTATTTTGTTATTTGGTTTTTGCAAAATGATGTTTGTTTCCCTGAGGATACACAAAAACATGCCCTCGCTACAACAAACTTTAGAAGACCAACTGACAACTTCACAACCTGAGTGGGTTATTGTGCAGCCACGGGTTGTTCACCAAAGTCATTTACTAGCTTGAATGTAAATAGACTGTATATTGGGACAACAAGATAAGCGGTGCAATGCTTTTGAATTGGAAGCCTAAGTCTAACCGGTCCATGGGTCCATACTGCCAAAAAAAAAGAAGAAAAGAATGGGAGTCTATGGGCCGATAAAAGCTGCTTTCTGATCCTGTTTGATGTGTGTCATGGACTTCACGTATGATGTCCGTGGATTTTAGACACATTTTGATGCCAAAAAACTCTTATTTTAGACAGGTGACAAAAATGATTTTAGGCTTTGTGTGAAAATACGTAGATGACTACAACTGCTCGTCTCACTCTATTGGCATCATCTAACCAGACACAGAAAACATGGAGGAAAAAAAAATGTCTGACTTTAGCAAGCTTTGCATCTTTCCTCCAGGATGACAGAAGGAACATTAAACAGGGAAAAATAAACACTGTAAATCTGATCATGTGGAAAGTAGCCGCTATACTGAGAGAGGAGTGATTCTGCGGTGATGTCATATATGCGACATCTGATTTGTACTTTATACAAGCTGACAAATTACATGACACACAGTCGACACTCACATAATTATTTGTTATTTAAATTGAAAACATGTGTAATTCAGGGCGCAAGGCAAAGCGGGTTCACTTACATTCATGTCAGGGAACCTATGAGCTGACCGGAAGGGGAGGAGTCTTAGGCTCCCTACAAAATAAACTAATAAATAAATACACATCTTGCTGGTTCCCATCTAAAAAAAATTGGGGGGAGAACTTTAAGGACTGAAGCTTCGATGTTACTTCCAGAAGCAAAAACAATTGTTAGACTTAATTCTGAAAGCAGATTCTGTCTGTGTTTATTATGACTTGCTTCTGCTGTCCCAAAGTGGTTGGTTTAAGGGCATGCTAATTAGCTTGGCATGGCACTTTGAGCTGAATCTTTACTGGTCTAATATTTATGCGATTTCTTCATACATCATGAAGGAATTCTGAACTGTCAGATGAGTCACTAATTTGCTGCTAAATATTTAAAATCTCCTCTGCAGTTGCATAAAAATGCTCTGCGCTAAATAAACTCTTCCAGTCCAACATAAGCGTTAGCCTGCTGGCTTGTTTATCACCAGAACATTGTGGGCCTTCGGTTTGTTTCCAGAATGGTTTCTAACTGTTAGCTGAGTGCGCTCCCCAAATGATTAGTTCCATCTGTCTTCTTATGACGAAAATCCCCATCTAGTAGATTGTGATGAGCATACTTAATCAACTGTGAGCAAATCTAAGGATGTTTTGCCGTTACAGAAAGCTAGAGGGAACATTGTTTACGTTCTTGTGCTCATTATCCTGCCTGGCTGTCTGGTTTTACCAGCTTATTAGCTTATTGATGCTCCAGCTTCTGGTTGTTTGCAGCCGATGTCCAAGATGTCCCCAATGCAATGACTCCATGTCAAATTTTGAGCAACAAAACAAAACAGGGCGTTGGACCGACATCTTTTAGCAGCTTTAACAGGATGCTACTTAAACTGCAAAAACCACCTCTCAGGAGTTTACACCCTCCGCTGTGCTGTCGTGCAGCAATGTCCTCCCTTAAATCCCAAGAGCGTGTTACCTTTGAAGACAAATCATTGTCAGCTTAATGTAAACACCTGGCCAGCAAACAGACAGGTAATCTGACTGTAGAGAAAGAGGATGACAGAGAACAAGAGACTGAGATATTAACCGCTGCAGGGAAAAGAGAGAATATTAGGCGGAGACAGAGAGCAGATTCATAAGCAGAGTGTGCTGACTAGCTGACCCTTTGAAAGATAAGCTAATGAGATAAGATGAAAGAGGAAGATGCATGCAGCAGAAAAGTTGAATGTAACACTTTAATGCTGCATAAACGTAAAGGTGCAAATACACATGTGAGTGTTTTCAGTGAAGTTATGCATGCAAATAAGCTCAATAAGCTAAATGTGATCTGCCAGCCGGCTGATGACTTCGCAGACAATTTGGGAGATCTCTAATATTATTATGCACTTGTGCTGATTTACCTTCACACACTCACATACACACACACACACACACACACACACACACACACGCGCGCGCTCACACACACACACATTCATAGATCCAAACCAGTGGAATTCCCTTTGTCTGTGCCTCCCGCCTCCCTCTAAAACTTTCTATGAATGCCCACCTCCCACGCTGTACACACACACACACACACACACACACACACACACACACACACACACACACACACACACACACACACACACACACACGCACACACTCATCCTGATTCTCAACAAGTATGATGCTGGAATCTGCAAAGCTCCATCATCTGCTACAGCAATCTAAGCTCCTCACTCTCTAAAGCTTCTCATAAAGCGGCACACTTTCAGAAGATAACTCCCACACCTGCAGTAAAGCAAATCCCAATATCATAACACGCACAAGCCATTTCCTCATGATTTCTCTGTCTCTCTCACACACACACACACACGCAGACAGACAGACCGCGCGCGCACACTGAGCACATGAAAACACCTCCATTGTCAGTAAAAATAAACTCACCCTGCCAAAAACATAAACAAAATGTAAGCATGCACATGTGCTCGCACATGCAGGGACACACTGCGCTGCCTCTCATTTCTCTGTGCAACATAAAGAGTGTTGAGCACGACAAGACTTATATGATGCAAAACAAAAACAGACACTTAAGAGTTGCTTTAAAATCTGCCCTCATGTCTGTTTCTCTTCACTTTGCTATCTCTATGGTGATGCTGAGAGAAGGCTGCTCTACTATATTTCATCAGGACACAGAACTGAGTCACACATACCACATCTCTCTCTCCCGCTGCCCTCTGTGCTCTCTCTTTCTAGCACGAGTGCTCGCTCCTCTTCTGTTATTCCTTCACGTTTCTTCCTCCCATTCTTCCGTCCCTCGTGTTTGTTTTAATCCTCACCTCTCTGTCACCTCTGCTCGGTGAGGTTCACACCATTTCCTTCCCTGAGCCCATCTGCTCCTCTCCTCCTCAATTCTTTTTCTCCTCCTCTCTCCTCTCCTCTCTTCTCTGGTTGGGTTGACTTCTATCTCCTCTTCTCCTCTTCCCGTGGACTCATGCCTTTCACGTGGGAACCTGTCTCTCCATCCCTCGCAGCTCTGCGCTTCGCTGTGCCTACCTAGTTGTCTGTGTGTTCGTGCTGCGAGTGGAAGTGAAAGGACAGGAGGGGGAGCAAGAAGACAAGAGTGAGCAAACAGGCAGTTATAGTGTCAGCTCTCGTTGCCTCGTCCCTTTTGCCTCTCTCTTGCTTTCCCTCTGCCTTTCTCCATCATGACCTCCTCTCCCTGTCGCCATGCAAGCTCCCGTATCCTTGTAAGCAGAAGGGAATGTGTGTGTGTGCGTGCGTGCGTGCGTGTGTGTGTGTGTGTGTGTGTGTGTGTGTGTGTGTGTGTGTGTGTGTGAGAGAGAGAGAGAGAGAGAGAGAGAGAGAGAGAGAGAGAGAGAGAGAGAGAGAGAGAGAGAGAGAAAAGGGGGCTGGTGTTGGATGGAGAGGGTAGGTGGAGCTATGTGACTCGGTCTAATTAAAAAGCAGAGTATGTACAGCTGCAGAGAGCAAAGTAGGAGACGACAGGAGGAGGAGAGAGGGGAGCTAAGTGATCCAGGGGGAGTAACCAAAGGGACACACAAAGACAAGGCAATCAGTTGGGGGGGCAAGGGGGCTGGTTAGAGGAGAGCAGTCAGTAGCGTGAGGAGGTGAAAGGGAAAGAGCTGAAAGGACACCAAGGTCAGCCGGAGAGCAATGCAGAAAGGTCAGACTCAGAGAGAGAGAGAGAGAGAGAGAGAGAGAGAGAGAGAGAGAGAGAGAGAGAGAGAGAGAGAGAGAGAGAGAGAGAGAGAGAGAGGAGTGGAGTGGAGAAGAAGAGGATAGGATCAGACAGGTAGAATTGTTTTACAGATATCTCCCATATGAGCGGGGGCCGAGCTGGGGAACCGTGACCAGCAGGATAATAGAGACACATGGACAATAGTCCTCTGAAGCAGAGGCAGATCCATAGTCACAGAAGGTTAGGCCACTCCGCTGCTCTCTGGCTTCTCTTGATTAACATGCACAAGTGTCGTGCACGCACATTAAAGGGCAAAACCAAGGTGTGAGTTCAGTTATCCCCACATTGTTGCCACTTTTGTTACTTGTCAGTTAGCAGAGTGGGTACAGAGGGATTCCTCTTATTTTCTTTTTTCTGGCTGTGCGTTGACCTCATCATGACTGTGCTGACTGCTGTCACCTGAGGCTACAGCGAGTCGCAGGAACCACTCTACACAGCAGAGACGGAGAGAGAGAGAGAGAGAGAGAGAGAGAGAGAGAGAGAGAGAGAGAGATCCACACCTACATGCCTTCAGGGCTCAGGCATCTCGTCCTATTTTATCAGCTCTGATCACTTATTTTGTACTATCTCCTCACTCTCCATCAGATTTACATGAAAATGAATCACGTCTTTATATCTCTGTAATTCTGTTTTGACACCTTCAGAGCCAATTTATAGGAAATGAAAGGGTTTCAAATACAATTTGTTGGAAGAACACAACCCCCACCACTAAGTCTGAACTCAATGAACGGACTATCTAGTGCATCACTGATTCATAATGAGATGTGCAATTATGTTCTGCAATATAGGATCTGAATATTAAGTTGAGAGTCTTGGTTTTCTGCACAAGTATTTTACATAGAACCAACCTATTTTGAATTTTATCTCTTTTCTGTATTTTTCTTTCTTATCATATTTTTTATGTTATAGTGTTAATGATCTTATTAGTGCATGAGTAGAGCAATACGTCTTTTTCAATGCATCATATGCATGTTCTAAAACTGCAATAAAAAATATCCAAAGAATAAAACCTGATTATCTAATAAGAGACTGGTTCTGTGTTCTGGATTTGTCATTTATAAGCAAACAGTGTGCATTTGGCTCAGACGCTGGGATCTGCACCTTCAGCTGGACCTGAGCAGAACCACACAAGGTCCAGAGGGGGTGTCCAGGGTCTTTTGCTGCAACGAGTGTTCTGCTCACACAACTGCAGCAACTTTGATGTCTGTGAGCGTTAAAAGAGTAGTGATGTGAACGTTAGCACGTCTGTTGCTGGTGGAGACAGTCAGCATGGTGATACGGCAGATGGAGCGGTGCAGGATAATTAGAGGAGGACAGACTCCATGAGTCGTCTAAACAGGCTGCTGGCTGCAGGGAGGACCTTGACAACAAAGCATGTCTGCTGGCAGTGTTTCGGGTAGTTTTTAGTGCATTGTCCATTCTTTTTTTATGTTTGATGCTCTCTGCCATCTCAACTGCCTCCACATGGGATTTTACTGGAACTGTGAGAGTGTTGTCATTTAAAAAAATAATAATAATAATTTGTGACCTAAAAAAGTTTTTTTAACCAACAGAAATGTTCAGGAATTAACAAAAGTGGTTTAGTGCATGAAGAAAAATCCAGAGACATGTTTGAAATATTATTTATTTTGTAATTACATAAAAAGAAGCCATTGTTTTGTTGAAATAGTATTTTTAAGGTGACCCCTGAGTATCTAAATATTGTCACCTGCTGCTAAATGGCAGATGGTTGGTGATAATGTGAAATATTCTATGAAGAACTAGAAAGATTTTAACAAAACTCTAAAAAATCCTCATTGGATGTAACAACTACTTCTGGAGTTAACGTGATTCATGATGGCTGCTGCAGCTCATTAAGGTGAGCAAACACAAAATCAGCTATAACTTCAGTGGTTTTTAGAGGTTTTCGTAGCTCTTGGTCATCCTTAAAAAATATTCTAAAGACAACGTTTTTACCTGTGCCATTAAATCAACCATTTGCCAGCCCTACAACCCTAGAGTGATTGCATGGTGCACAGTGGCATGGCAGTTTTAAGTTGGAAATACAAAGTTTGATCATTTCACCTCTCTGCTTTAGTGCATTTTAGGATTCGTTTAAAAAAATCTTCTCTCAGTTCTTTAATCTTTAAATGGGTTGGCCCCAGTGTTTTTATTTTTTTTCAACACATTTGCAGTGGTCTCTAGTGTACATGAATGTCTTGTGAGATAATCTCTGTGAAAAAAAAAGCTCTGGCACAGTTGTTTCAGGAACTAGAATTCAGACAGAAGAGGGGGGGGGGGGGGGCAAAAAACGGAGGGATTTGGAGTCTCACTGGTTGGTTAACAGCCACACGAGTCTTCCACAGCCTCCATTCCCTCTTCAAAGTTGATGTTTTATCTCTACAATAACACAAGCCTGAAAGAGTTCTGCCATGTTGTGGAGTTGCTAATGCTAACAGTTAACCGTGATGCCCTCTGCTCTCTCCTGGATGTTAAATCAACAACAGCCTTCTCTGCCACCCGCCATGATGGGTGAGTCCATGAATGCAAACTTTCAGTGTGATGTAGATCTGACTGGCTTTTCTAATACAAGTTTTTTTTTGGCATCTGATGCAAGAAACGTGTAGAAGACTATTATCATGTTCAGAAAGCAGGTGAAACTCAGAAGGACCAATAGTCTTTCAAATATATCAAGTTAAAAGAAACGGGTTTCTCTGTGAAATATCGCTTTAAGCCTTACATACCTGCACATGCCACAGGGTCAGCTGGCCAACCATTACTTGTGCTCCAGAGAACACGGTTAAAGCTTAGATGAGACAGCGCTTTATCAGCTGCTGCCCCCAAGCTCAGGAAAGACCTTCCATTGCACGTTAGGCTAACTTAATATTTGACTGTTGAAACGTTGTAAACTTGTTTATAATTACTGAACTTTGATTCTGAGTAGCCTTGACTCTGCCGCTATGTTATTATTTTTATTGTGTTTATTATGTATGGGTGTATTTGTCTTGGTATTTGTCTAGATAGAGCTGACACTGTTGTTTTTGTACTGCTGTCATTTTATTAAGCTTTTATAAACCATGTTTGTTGGTGTTTTCTGCACTTTGGTTGGCCTTGTGCTGTTCAGTTGGTTTTTGAACTTCTCAACTCAGCTACTTGAGTAACTCGGATTAGTGCCGCTCAGCACGACCACCTTTTCCAAGAGCCAGGTTTGGTAATTTCCCTCTACTTTTTTCCAATTTTTAGTGCCTGCCCTGTTGAGGTTGCTGGCCAGGTTGAGTCAGGCCGGCATTGCGATTGTGGCCGCTGATTGGCTAGAGGGCAGTGTCACCGGTTTTCTGCCTGCTGTCACACACGCGCAGATGATGTGAGCGGAGGTGAGGATCCAATTGCAGGGGAACGCAGGCAGGCAGGCAAACAGGAATGATTAAAGGCTTTTAATAAGGAGCACGCTGACACTGAAACAATGATGCGACTAGACAAAAAGGACTGACAGGGATTAACTTATTCGCTGCCAGCATTTCTCACTGTTTTTACTGTTTTTTAAGAGTCACAGAACATTGCACGCTACGATGATGTCTACGCCAAAACAACCAAAACAAAGTGGAGACTCACCTCTTACATCAGGAAGAATCCACGCATTTCGAGCGTTATCCGTTCTTTTATAATCCATTGTTGAATTGTGATCGGCAGAAGCTTTTCCGGTTCGCGTCTCACCTTTTTTTACAGCAGCAGCCCAAAACTATCTCCTAACACATGGATTTTCTGCTTCCTGATCACGTGATGTGTGACGTATGCGGATGAAGATCGGCTTTAGAGCTGAGATGTTTGTTCTCACAGCACGGGGGCTCGTTCCGACGCCCGCACAGTAAAAAAAATGCAAATGATGAGTCGTCATTGGCAGTAAATGTTTTAAATACAGGAGGAGCTGGGACCTCGGGTGATTGAGAGACGAGAGGCAGGTGGGAGCAATTAATCTGGAAACAGGACTGAACAGAATGAGGAGACAGGACAGAGTGTGACACCTGCTGCTTACAAGCATTTCCTGGTTATGTCACGATCGTGGGGAGTTTCCTGACCCAAGACATGCAGAATCACACTAGGAGACATAGGCCAGACATGGCGGTGATGCTGAGCACAGCTCCGGGGCTGGGTTGTAGAACTGAAATCCAAGATCTTGGGAGGGTAGACAGGACTGGGGTGAACTGCATCTGTGGTAATCCGAAATCCAAGGGAGGTGAGCGGTGGGAGAGCGGGTCGATCCAGTTGGAGAGTGAGATCAGGCTCGGAGGTGAAATCCAGGTTATTGCTGAGTTGTCTAGTGGTGAAAGTTCCTGGTGATGACAAGGCGTAGTACATACAAAAACATTTACTACTGCAAGTGAGCACAATGCAAGAGACTAAAGCTATAGTACAACTACGATAGCAAGAGCTACCCAAAATGAGTGAACATCTGGCGAAGTGAAGTGATCTCTCAGCTCGTTATGAACACTGGACCAGTTGATTTGAGAAAGCCTGCAGCTGGCCGCTCTCTGGAACTGCCCACCTGCAGAGGATGAAGCACAATGAACAGAATGGTGCCGTACTCACCCCAGATACTGACAGGTTAACAGTCTGGCAAAAAGCCATAAAACTGAGTC